ATATTAACCCATTTCCCACTTGGAACTGGGGCCAGAGAGTCAGTTATACCGTGTGTCACAGCTGAGTGGCAGGTGAAGCGCTGGCCTCCAGGCTCACACACCGTGGCCAGGGGGTTGGTCACCTGCCAAAATGGTCAATTTTTTTTTTTTTTTCTGTCCCATGGTTAATCTTATTTTCAAAAACCATGCCATAGAGAGAGTGAGCCATTGTAATACATCCTGGGCAGGGTTTGTTTGCATAAATAATTTAAACAAGAAAACTCGAAATATAACTATAATAAATAAGATAAACACCAAAGAGTCAGCTGGAGAGCTTAGCGAAGTTCCACTAGGTACACCCCCGCCCCTTTTTTTATTCCTGTTATAACGACTCGAGATCAGAGCTACTGCTAGGGCGGAGCCTTGGTCTGGACTGTTGTTTCCAGAAGTGGCAGGTGTCTGTTCTCCGAATCTAGCGGTATTAAAGGCGCAAGAAGAAAATGCTGAGGGGCCGAAAGTGGAGGAGCCAGTCTGAGCAAACGCTCCCAGGACCAAGGCAGATTTTGCGGGATGAACAGAATTCTTGTGGGCTGGGTGTTTTTTGGAAACTCTCTCCAAGAATGCATGCGACTTAAATATTTCTTTACCAAAAGAGGATGAGGAATATAGTTTACAATGTTGAAAACAAATTTTTCCCCCTCTGGTTCCGTATTCCCCCTCTCATAGAGGAGCAGGAGAACAAACCAGTAGCAAGGTAGGTACTTTCCATTTTTCATATTGATCCAACCAAGCAATCTTTCTGTGTGAATTAAACGTTAATCCTCTTGAAGTTATAGCTTGGCTGAGGAGAAGGGACATAGGGACACAGCCAAATTCAGGCTCCCAATCCTAGAAATAGCAAGAATCCAGCCATACTCTCCCAAAGGGGCTAGTTTTCCCTGGGCTAGTTTTCCTGTTATGTGTAAATGTTAACGATTTTGTTGTTGTTGACACTTATGTTGTTTCTACTTGGGGAGGAGGAGTGTGAAACCCATAGCACGAGGAGGAGGAGGAAAGGACTTGTAATTCATAGTCGCCAGGGGCTCCCCTTACTCTGGGACTTTAAAAATGTCCCCCTTTCAATTTCACGTGCCTGGAGCTGGATTGCTATAAATAAGTTTGTTTGTGTGATGCAACTGGCTGAGGGCAGTCTTGAAACTGAAGGCGTGTCAGGTAACTGCTTTTTCCTTTCTTCGGGACAATCAGGTCTTCCTCCTTCACTCCTTCTTGGTGTTGCTCCCCTGCTCCCTGCCTACCCCCCGAGCCCATCTCTCTGACTACACAGCTCACGCAGTCAGGCGCCTGGCTGCCTTCTGTGCAGAAGCCACCACACCACCACTGTGGGGGCAGAACACAGAAGGTGCATATATGCCTGTGGGGGATGACGTGGGTTTTGTGACTCACCGTAACTCAATACTGGTAAACACGACAAACCCCAGCTCTGCCACTTTCTAGCATCGTGACCTTGGGCGAGCTGACTAACTTCATTGATTCTCACTTCTCTCATCTGTAAGAGGGAGTGTGAGATGGCCCTGTGCCTCAGGATGGCTGTGAGAGCACGAGGCACAGTTAGTAAGATGCTTAGCAGAGTGACTGGCTCACGGATTGTGTTCAGTAAAAGCCTCCACCGCCACCACCATCACCGCTGCCGCCGCAGAATCTTTCTGTCCAAGCCTGAGGTTCATCTTGTTTTTCTATGCCAGAAGTAGAGGTGTGTGTCCTAAGCCTGACTGTTCCCCCGGCAGCCAACTGAGGGGGATCCTGCTCTAGTCACTCAGGGTCCCTCTGTAAACCATTTTTTCTTCGGTATTACCGCTCATTGAACTGACAGAAATGTTCAAAGTTTCTTTCGCTTCTTTTATTATCAGTTTCTTCCTTGGCCCTGGCTCCTGGTGCCTTAAGAAGCCATTCATGTACCACAGGAACCCTTCCTGGCCTCATAGTTCTGGAATAAAAACCATTCTGAGACCCAACTCAACATCTCAGTCAACAATGGCTCCTTTCAAGGTTATCGTTACTCAGACTCCACAAGCATTTTGGGAAGTGGGAGGTGCCGCTATCTTCAGCTGGTTGTTTTTGGTTGTTCTTATGAGCTAACGTGCATAACCCAGAGTTTGGGGTTTTAATTATCATTGGTGACATTATTAAAGTTCATTGGTTTGCAGAGGTTAAGTAATCAAAGGTGTAATGACAGTTTGATGTGGTATTCCCCTCAAATGAGTTGATTTTCCTGTTCTAGATGTGAAAAGTAGAGAAACACATACCTCAGAGGTGAGCAGAGCACAGACCCACCCCTCTGACTCCCATGGGAAGGGAAGTTGAATTATCTCCATTCCCTCAGCCCTCTGAGTAGACAGTTCCAAACCCTAGCCACCTGGCATAGTCACCTATCCTGTCCTTGAACAGTTTATATCGTCATGTTCAGTTTGATCTGCACTTGAAGGAATCAGAATGAAAAGTGACATGAAATGAAACCCATCCAAACACATTTGATAGATTATAGGAAATCATTCTGAAAAGCCAAGCGTAATCTTTCTCTCTGGCTTTCAGTGGACATTTACGGTGAAATTTTGCCTCAAGTTACATAAACACTTTTGACAAGAAAGAAGAGGAGGAGAAGGAGGAGGAGGAGGAAGAAGAGGAAGAGGAGGAAGAGGAAGAAGAGGAGGAGGAGGAGGAGAAGAAGCCATGCAGCATAAACACCCTTGAAGAAACAGAGCCAAATTCTGAGATGGCATATAATTATGTACTAGTTACTAGATTCTGAAATAGCATGTAATATGCCAAATAGATGTTTATTTCCTCTTGTTTTTTCAAAAAGGTCCCACCCAACCACTGAAAGGAGAATTAAAATAACTCAGGGTGGGTTTAAACCCTCCTCTTCTGCCGCTTCCACACAGACCTGTAAAGGCACTGTTAACTTGGCGCATACCAACCCTCAGCATTATTTTAGGATGTAGCAGGAATAGTGGGTAAAGGAGGTTTCTAAGGGCTTCAATTTGAGCCAGTTCATTAAAGGCGAGTCAAGCACAGGGAGGAATATGTGGCAAATGTATGTGATTTGGGAGTCACAGGTAGTTATTAGGTCTCACACTATTTGTACACCCCAAAGCAGGGACTCCCTGGTGTCTGATCGGGTGACTGCACTGTGAATAAAAGCTGGGATTTCCACAAATAACTGGCCAAGTTTGTCAATGGCCCAGGGTTTCAACATCCACCCAACACAAAGTCTACTTTAGTAAATTACCTAAATACATGTAGGTCATATATGAACCAAGTTATTGAGGAGTTGTTAAAGCCAAGCAATTGATTCTTAAACTCCGACTTTAAATCCTTTCTGGAACAAGGCAAAGGATAGATTAAATAATATAACTAAATATCATTGTTGGTCCCTTCAAATTAGTTACTGTGGGTTGCAATATAGTTACTTCAACAATGCTCAGAACATCTCAAAGACAATCCCATTTATTTTTTGCAGACTTTACGATGACTGACTTTGAAAATGCTCAATGAGAGCGAATTTGACTGTTAGGAGTAGGTACAAGTCAGCTGGATCTGAGTCTGATAAACAGAGTTGGTGGTCTAGTTAGGTGACTCTGGCTGTCGTCAATGACAAAGTGTTTGGTTCAACAGTGAAGGGTAAGACTGCTCCTGCATTCAAGTAGCCATGGTCAAGTTTGAGAAGGAGTCACACAACAGAGTTTCATGAGCAATGTGAGAGAGGTATGAAAAGGATACTAGGATAATAAAACCGATGATGGTGACAGCTGTAAATTTGGCAAATTTACTAAAAGTCATTAAATTACACAATTAAAATAAGTGAATTTTATAATATGCAAGTGACACCTCAATACAGTTGTTGTTTTGTTTTGTTTTTTTTTTTAAAAAAAAAGGTGTTATGGGAGTACAGAAGTTCCCTTTGGTTCTGAATTAAAACTGTGGTTCCCACCATCCTTGTCAAGAGGGTAAAGTTAAGAAGCGGGGAGAAGAGGCTAGAATTGTGTTTGAGGTTTAGGCTGGTCTTGCTGTGGTTCTTGGGTCTCGGACCTGCCGTTAAGTGAGGGCAAACAACTGAAGGGTTTCGTGCATCCCAATGGCATGGGCAAATTCGCATTTAGGTAGATTTCAATAAGCAAGACTGGAGGCAAGGAGACCGGTTATAAGGATATTGTAACAGTCGTGGAGGGAAACTATGGAGGTGGGAATCCTAGTGCTGGCAACAGGATAAAAAGGAAGGCACAGGCTCATGAGCTTTTAGGTAAACTTGGCAGGACTTGGTACTTGGTGAGATGTGTGTGGTGAGGGAGGAGGAGGAGTCAGGGGAGGCGTAGGTCACTATCCCCAGACGGGGAGTATAGGAGAGGGTGGCAGGGGGATGGGCATGTGGAATTCAACTGTGGCCATGCTGAATTTGTGGTGCCTCTGCGACATCCAATGGAAGCAAGCAGGTACGCGTCTGATTCTGACACTTTGGGAAGACTCAGGATTACAAGTCATTAGTATATGAGCGGTGGTTAAAAACATATGACAGGGTGAGATGGGTCACAGAGACCTTGTGAATGAGAAGAAAATCGGTGAAGGGTGGAAAACTGGGGGGAATTAATGTCTGAGAGGCAGGGAGAAGAATGTAAGAGAAATAGAAGGAAAAGCAGGAGCGTGTGATGTCAGAAAGCCAAAGGAGGAATGTTTCAGGAAGAAAGGAGTAATAATGTCGAGTGTAGATAAAGCTCCAGAAAATGAAGGGTGAAAAGGTATCCACTGAATTTGGCTACCGGTGAAAACAGTTTCGGGGAAGTGAGGTCACAGCCAGGCTGCAGCAGGTTAGGGAATGAATGGGAGGATAGGAAGTGAAGATGGACATGTAACTGACTGTTTGGGGACGTCTGGAGACTGGAACGTGCCAGGGCTGTGGCTAGAAAAGGACACGTGGCCACAGACAGCTCGGTTTTGTTCTTAGAATGGAGAGGCTTGAGCATGTTTGTAGGCTGGGCCAATAAGAAGGAGGGACATTGCAAAAGATACAGACGAGAGGTCCATGGATGCAGAGGGGCTGGTGACGAAGGGGCATGGACCAAGACCTCAGGCCGAGCACTGGCACGGAGAGTGCCACCTCATCCCGCGAGATCCGAGGGCTGGGTGGGTGTGTAGCCTGGAACAGCAGGGGAGGTGCCGAGTGGCTCCCTACCTGACGGCCTTGGGTTCTTTGTTGTGTTTCATTGGTGCGGTGCCCCTGCGATGAACAGGAAGAGAAATTCTTTGTTGAAAGTGTGGGGATTGGAGGTTTGAAACGAGTGGAAATGTTTAGGAGTGATGGTAACAGAGGGAGCTGGTGGACAAATAACCATGCTGAAGCGAGCCATCCTCCCCTCTCTTT